CCAGGGAATTGTGTGCACGGCTTATATCGGCTGTAATGCATTGGAAACAATGTTGGGGAAGCTGGATTATCGCAAAGTTTGTTCCAAGTGGGTCCCGAGGATGCTTACACAGGACCAAAAAACTCATCGAATGGAAGTCTGTCAGGACCTGTTGCACCAGTTTGAGGCTGAAGGTGACAAGTTTCTGGACAGCATCGTCACCGGAGATGAGACGTGGTGTCACCACTACGAGCCGGAATCCAAAAGACAGCCCATGAAGTAACGACACCCGGATTCTCTAAGAAAAAGAAGTTCAAGACACAGCCATCGGCAGGGAAAGTGATGTGCACGGTCTTTTGAGATAGGCGGGATATGATTTTGTTGGATTTTGTGGAGCCTGGTGAGACTGTCAATTCTGTACGCCACAAGATGACGCTGACTAAGCTGAAAGCCCGTATTTCCCGAGTCAGGCCAGTGAAGCAGACAACCTTTCGCTTGCAACACGATAACGCTAGACCCCTATACCAGTTTGGCTGGACTGCCCTACCACATCCACCTTATAGCCCCGGTTTAGCACCTTCAGACTTCCATCTCTTTGAGCCTATGAAAGACGGACTACGTGGGCAACATTTTCTAGACAACGATGCTGTCATTGCAGCTGTAAGAAAGTGGCTAGCCTCTGCTGGCGCAGACTTTTACGGGCGTGGCATACAGGCTCTTGTTCATCGCTGACAAAAGTGCATAACGAATGGCGGTGATTATGTGGAAAAATAGCTGTAAGTAGCTGAAATCTTGCTTGTTTAACTGCTTTATTGTGCTTTCTGTATCTGTGGTAGTTTTCATTAAAGAAATAGAAGGCTTTATATGCGGTACGCTCCTCGTACAAGCCAAAGCGACGTCGAGACCGAGGAAGAGCCAGGAGAGTATACAAAGGGTATGTGAAGTAGGAACAGGCGTGATTGTCTGTGCAGTAAAGCGAAGGAGAAAGCTGAGAATTCCTCTTGTAACATGACATCTTCTTGGTCGATTAGTTGTGCGAACGTGGAGTCCGCATCCAGCGATTCAGGGAATGTCTCCGTCTCCAACATTAGGGATTGATGTGTCGTATAAATATTGTAGCGTGTAGAGCCGTTACTAGGCAACGACCACGAGATAAGCGGATGTACCAGAGCCGTTCTAGGCAATGACTCGGTAAACACATTCCCGCTGCAACGGATACGCATGCAACAATAGAGGTACTATAGGAAACTGTGCTTTCTTCTCTGTCCGTGCAAATGGGTTGTAAGGAGGACAAATGAGTTGAGGTGGAGGGGGGTGAAATACCTCCACCGTAGCCTTTCGAGTCATAGGAGGCGATGAAAAGGGAAGTCTCGAATCTGAGACAACAGAATATGTTTACGAGTCCCACGGGACTCGGAGCCAAAAATGACTGCGCTGCTGAGACCGAACCGCATTTGTCAGAGAGAGCTACTCACATCAACAAACACGAAACTGCCTGACAGTAGAAAAATCTGGTCATAAGCCCCACATTGGTGCTTTGCTCTATGACAGACTGGCAGACTTACTGTCGGTCGTAATATAAGACTCAGACTCAGAAGAATAGTTGAGATTAATCCCGTGTGGAGGCCGCGCCATAGCTCTAGAGGTTAGTCGCTGGCTTCCCACCGCGGCGGCCCGGGTTCAATCCCGGCGTCTGGTCAAGTGGAATTTGTGGTAGACAATGTGGCGCAGGGGCGGGTTTTCTCCGAGTACTTTGGTTTCCCCTGCCAATCTTCATTCCACCAAATTATCCATCATCATAATCACCAATCAGTGGCCGCCGTGCCGAGTGGACCCAGTTGGACTCCACCCCCCACTATGCGAATTTTTTAAATCCCGTGTGGAGGAGGGGTCGAATACTTCCACCGTAGCCCTGTTAGTCGTAGGAAGCGACGAAAAGGGAACCCAATGCCTGGGGGTATAACTGGGTCGCCCTATTCCTGGGGGAAATAAATACGGGGACCTGGCCCTCCAGGTTGGTGGAGTCTCGCATCTGATGCAGTAAAATGTGGTCATGAGTCTCACGATACTGGGATCCGAGAGTCACTGCGCTGACTAGGACCAGTAGCAATTGTAAATGACAGACCAATCCTCTCGTCAGAGAGGATGTTACATAAGTATTATAACCGCAAGTGTTCAGTTGGAAGATAAAACTACTGGTCGTGAGTCTCAAGGAGCTTGTAGCCAAGACACACTGATTTGCGGTAAACTGCCATTCATAAAATAATTTTGACTTTTATTTTGACTTGAATACATGAGTTGGCAGGGAGTTGCCATTTAGGGAGGACTTGTACACGGAAGCAGAGGAATAGCAGTGTTAAAATCCGTTGCCACGACACGTCTAGTAAAGAGAGAATAATTTTTGTGTATTGTGGTTACAGTAATATTTAGAGCGTGTAATTCAGTGAGACTGTCAGAGTTACTGTGTTAAAATGCATGCCAGGAAAAGACTAATGGAGAGTGTAACAGATTGAGAACGCCAGTCGGTGTGCTGTAGTGAGTTGTGATGTGTGGGGATCAGCGATGACGCTATAATTAAGTGTAGTCACGAGTCGTGTGTTAAAGTGGTCAATAAATGGAGTCACCAATCCAAACCCCGTTGAGAGTCACTCCATAATACCTGACAGTATGTATATATACATTCATTTTAATTGTCACATGTATCCTGCTAAGGCGACAAGTAATTAATGAGTACCGGATTAGATGAAGCGATTTAGTGGATATTCACCAGGCGGAACTACAATTAGATGTAACACAGTCTTGCTGTAACAATAACACTTCGTAACTACGAACAATGATGACACTCTAAATCTTACTGTAACTACACCACATAAAATAAAGACTTCATTTCTGACTTCTGTCTTCGGTTGGTCAGTTCTCTCCCTGAGGTAGGTTCCGGTCGAACCGTATGGAGACCACCACCTTCAACAGTAGACTTCTCGCGCTCTTCGCTGTTACTCTGCTTTGGAGGTTCGTTGCCGTGTGACCGGAAACGTTTCTGTATGCGTTGCCTAGGAATCGGCGTGACTCTGTATCCAATGCATTGCTTCTTCAGACGTATTCGTTACTGTGGAAACATGATTACTGAGCCGTTGTCTAGTAATGGGTGCCTGGCTCTGCCTCAACTCTTGTGGCTTTCAGTTACAACTAATTGTAGTTCCGCCTGGTGAATATGCACACACACATAAAGCTATCACACAAACTCCACACTGACAGAGCTTATCTCACCAGAAGACTTCATTACGCAGTATCTCAATGAAAGCCTCGAATCCTATAATGAGCAGAAAGACAGATATCGCAAAATATTCCTTTGTAAATAGGACCATTTGCTCTGGAACCAACTGCCTGCAGAGGCTTTAGGGATTCTCTCCTGTAAACCAAGTAATTTTAAGAAAGGGTTAGGAAAGTGATAAATAACACGAAGTGAAGGAGGGGGGGATCATCCAAAAATGCAGTGAAGTGAAGTGAAGTGAAGTGAAGTAAGTTGTGGTGAGGATGTGAAGGGTATGGAAGTGTAGTGAAGCGGAATGAAGCGAAGTTCATGGTGAAATGTGAGTGCATCAGTTCATGACATTACGTATTTCATTGCATTAATACATGTATTTGCATTGTATTCATTCTGTGCGGTGTGTCCTTTATTGTTTATGTTTGGTGTGCGGTGTTTTGTTCGAGTGTAGTGTGTTATTTTGTGTTATGTGTGCTATTTATGTGTTGTGTCTTATTATAGTACCACTGCCACCGGGTAAACACCCATTTGCAGTTTAAATAAATAATAATATACGAGTATAATAATAGATTTGTTACACCAACTCTTAAACTCCATACATCTACAAAGTGAAAATTTTGAATTTAAAAATTTCACAAATATGTAGTCGGAGTAATATTTAGGCCCATTATCATAGTCTCCACAGACACCTCAACCCACCTGCCCCCCCCCACACACACACAATGATATTTCGTCTTACATGTGGATTATGTTTGATAACGAAACTTAAAGCAGCTTTTAGTTACTTACGTGAAGAAACGTAAGTGCCCATCTTTTGGGATATGACGCCGCGTAATCCGGCATAATTTTACTGACGTTTCAGAAGAATGACATTTCTCCAAATCTGACAAGTAGTGTTCGATACCAAGACCAAATAGGTCGGCTGAGGGAGACCGCGACTCAAATTTGTATGCAGATAGCAGTGAAGTTTCGAAAGACCAACAAAATGTAGGCAACACAAACGACCGAAACGTCCATGAAGTTCTATCAAACTAAACTGGGTCAAGGAAAATACGTGTAATAGCTTTATAATATTTATGAGATTTGAGGTTCCCGTGGAGGTGAATATTAAGACACTTATCGCCTGTGACGTGCCACCGTGTAGTCTGATAGAAGTCTAGGACGTTTCAGAAGAACGTACCGCCACTATTTTCAAGTTCGAACAGTTACAAAACAAAGCTCCCTGGTAACGGCATCCAATGGTGGACGTTCTCCTTATTCTGGGTTCCCTAAATAGCCCCGTGCCTCAGCTGCCAGCTTCTAGGAGTAACGACTTACGACTGAACTATAGTTCTTGGCTAAAATCCAAGTTGGCGGTCATCTCACACCAATCCCCTACCCTTGTCTTCACAGACTAACTGACCAAGATGCAAACCTCGTCTCGCATATAACCCCTCGGCACGGACCACATACAAAACACAGCTCTTCCATTGTTGCCCCTATCATCTCCATGGGAACGTGCCTGTCCGCGAAGGCGTCACCCAATAACGGTCGCACACTCTTGCTTATTAAAAATTTGTTGCCTAGCAGCGAATGTTGTTTCGATGTCTATTTAGAGGCCGCGATCCAGCAACGTTTCTACACGCTATAGTATCTTTCGGCCCAGAAGATGAAGGCTCTGCCTCCGTCCGAAACGGCGGTAAACATTTTCCTCAAATTAGACGGCTTCATGTTAGAGAAGACAGAATTACTGAGCAAATTATTTGTCTCGTTTCAGAACCCGAAACCTGCAGTTGGCACAACTCAATAACCACAGGAACATTTCCGAAATTCTGGACGGCCTGTTGAGAGGTTATGACAACAATGTACGGCCCGATTTTGGAGGTAAGATGGCGTAGAATCAGACCAATTAAGTGAAAATTAATAATGGCCCCATATTATGCAACATTTATATTGTAGCGTAAGATGTTCTTGAATCACTTGAGCCATAAATTTTGATCAGGAGCAGTTCTATCTATTTATCCATGGCTCTACAACCCTTGTGGACCTTGGCCGCTTTCTCAATTTCTTAATATATACACAGTCGGTAGGACTTCTTGGACGGGGGATCAGCCCGTCGTAATGCCGCTCCCTGCACACAGGGCGATACAAACACAGAATAACTGCACACAGACATCCAAGCCTCAAATTGGATTCGAACCCATGATCGTAGTGTTCGAGCAGTCGAAGACAGTTCATGCCTTAGGCCGCGCGGCCACTGCGACCGGAGGAACAGTTCTATACTACAGCGAAATTCTTCGTGCACACTGACCTACCAATCCTGTAAACCCTAAGAGTGTTCAGGAATAGAGTACAAACTGGTGTTGGAACTGGATGAACAGTTTTCGGAAACATACTACAAAGTATTATTACCAATATCCTGCCCCATAAAGAACCAGAACCGTAACTAATTTAACATTCTCTAGTGATTTTTCATAAATTTGCTTCATATCTTTATAATTTCAGCCTCTTTGACATTTTGTTCATAACCTAGAAGAATGGCAGAAGAATCTTAACGTTTAATTCAAGGTTGTAACCACTCGCTGAGACTTTAGCATCATCATCATCATCAGTAATCTGTCAAGACGACAGGTCCACAGTCTCTTTCAAAACAATTCCTCCACTTAATGCGATCTAGAGCTTTCTCCTTCAAATGACAGTATCCTCTTCTGTCCCCAAGGTCATCCAGCATCTTCTTACGTCTTCTTCCTCGTCTTCTTGTCACTTCTATCCGCCCATCTATCTTTCCTTCGATAGCTTCTTTTAGAAGGCAGTTTCTGCGTAAAACATGACCAATCCAATTAGCCTTCCGTTTTCGTATTTCATGTAGGATATTCCTCTGCTCACTGACTCTAATTAACACTTCTTCATTTCTCACATAATCGGTCCAACTGATCTTCTCCATTCTTCTCCAACACCACATTTCGAAACTTTCCAGATGTTTCTGATCTACTGCCCTAAGTGTCCATGTTGAGACTTTAGCATAATAATTATATTTTTTTTTGTTCACAAAACATTTATTGCTTTGTAACCGTCCAGCCCTTACGTTGGGCTCCACCTCTTCTCTCTCTAACCGTCCTTACCTCACCTTCACT